TGGACCAAGTCACAATCCCCAACGGTGCTCTACCCCACGCTCATGTCCGGCGTGCAAGTCACCTCAATACAGCACTATGATGTGCAAATCCGGGGTTTCAAACCCTTAGGATATCATTTACAAGTATTACTCACTTCGAACCGGCGAAATCTCTAGCTCGCGACGCCTTTGCCCCTCGAATCGGCCTCCACGCGCATCGAATCTAACCAAAATCAGAGCGAATACATTACAATATTCCAAGGGAACAATACCCAATCGAAAACAGCCAAGAAATAGCAGAAATCTCGAAACTAGCAAAACCCAAGCCCCGGGCCCGCTTCTCGAAAAATTACAAAATTCACATTACCGTATTCCTTGTCTCGCCACGAGTCCATACATACCAAGAACTCCCAAATCCGAGCTCAAATGACCTATCAAATCCCAATTTGAAATATAAAAAACTCAAGCCCTAGCTTTACCCCTTTTTAATGAATTCTAACCAATTTCCATGTTAATTTTAACAAAATCTCGAGTATTTAGGCCAAGGAACTTACCTCTAATCATTCCTCCTCGAATCCCTCTTCAAAATCGCCTCAAAGCTCTCAAAGCTCGCTCAAAAATGGGGGAAAATAATACCTAGCTCGCGGAGGGAAATATTCAATAATCAGCCCAGCACTTTCGCTTATGCGGTCCCCATCCCGCTTCTGCGGGACCGCTTCCGCGCTATTCCTTCCGCTTCTGCGGAAATCCCACTCTCGAACCAAACCGCTTCTGCGGTCACAACATCGCATAAGCGATTCCGCTTTTGCGGCTACGCCAACGCTTCTGCGGAACCAGGCGCCCAGGCCTCTTCACCGCTTCTGCGGTCAACCCATCGCTTAAGCGGGTCCGCTTCTGCGGTCCAAGACTCGTAGAAGCGAGAATACCAGATATCAGCAACATTTGAAGTCTCCAAGTCCAAATTTCTTCCCGCTAGCCATCCGAAATCACCCCGAGGCCTCCGGGACCTCAGCCAAAGGCACCAACATATCCCAATACATCATACGAACTTGCTCCAATCATCAAAACACACCTAACAACACTAAAATCATCAGTTCACATCGGATTCAAGCCTAAGTTCTTCAAGAACTTCTGAAATGCACTTTCGATCAAAAAACCCGACCAAACGATGTCCGAATGACCTGAAAATTTGCACACATATCCAAAATCACTTAACGAAGCTACAGCAACTCTCGGAATTCTATTCCGACCCCCGGATCAAATTCTCACCCATCCACCGGAATTCGCCAAAATACTAACCTCGCCAATTCAAGCCTAATTCTTCACCGGGCCTCCAAAATCAATTCCGATCGCACTCCCAAGTCACAAATCATCCTCCAAAGCTAACCGAATCACCGGAAATCACATCCGAGCCTTCTAACTCAATAGTCAACGTTCGGTTGACTTTTCCAACTTAAGCTTTCCTTAAAGAGACTAAGTGTCTCATTTCTTATCAAAACCAATCCAAAACAACTCTAACACACCACATACCGATAACGAAACATGAAGAAGCATGAAATGGGGAAAACGGAGCAATAACACATGATACGACGGGTCGGGTCGTCACAATTTACTTGCCCTTCATACGTTTTCAACCAAAAGTCCCTTGAAAAATAGGCTGAGCAAAAGGCCGATTTCTTTTGATGTATACTCTCAATTGCAGCAATTGCATGTTCACATGGCATCTCATCTAGCTGAAATTCAGAACAATCACATGTTCTTTTGTCTAGATCAACAATAAATTCCATACCACCTTCTTTGACATTGAATTTGAGTCTATCAATGGGCAATACTCTAAATGTAAAAGCTGGTTGAATTTTTGCTTCCAATGTTGCTTCTGCCCAATTTGATATATCACGGAATATTCCTTCTGCAAGTGTCCTTCTTTCATAGAACCAGCTTTGCAATTTTTCTTGTATGAAATCCATCATTGTTAAAATTGGCAATTCTCTTGAACGTCTTAAAACATTATTCATTGACTCAACAATATTTGTTGTTAACATATCATATCTTCTTCTGGGACAATGTGAACGAGCCCACCTTCTTGGCGGTTCCTCCATCAAATAATTGAAAGTTTTCTTATCAACAGCAGCTATTTGGGACATGAAGTCATCAAATTCTGATTGAAGGTATACTCTTGCAGCACTTTGAAAGAGATTTATCACAGTGTTTCTCACTCTTCTTTGCTTCAGATTCTTTTCTAAATGATAGATGCAAATTCCATGGTAGCACTCAGGGAAAACCTTTGCAATTCCATTTGCAATAGCCTTGTGTCGATCTGACAAGAACATTAAATCATTACGAATCCCAATTGCTTTCTTAATTCCCTGAAATACCATTCATATGATTCATTATTCTCTTTATCCACTACTCCAAAAGCTATAGGAAAAATCTGATTATTTGCATCTTTGGTAACAGCCACTAATAGAACACCTCTATATTTATTTTTTAGAAATGTTCCATCAACAGCAATTAGTGGTCTACAATACTTCCACCCAAAAATTGATGCCCCATACATAAAAAACATGTAAAATACCTGTAAAAAGAAAAGCAAATAAAATTCAGTTAACTTACACCGTATAATATACTGGAGATAAAGCTCATACAAGCCACACGTCCTGTAAAATTTACGGGCATCAAACAAAAATTAACTACTTTATAATATTCTTCCAGTATAACATACTGGAGTTCCATTAACATCCAGTATAATATACTAGATAAAATAAACTAAAAATACAAAATTTTAGGTTGAACAGAACTCACCGAGTATATTATACAGGACAGAAAGCTTATAAAATACAGATATCCTGTAAAATATACTGGATGACAACCACTAACATCCTGTATAATATACTGTACAAAATCAAATACAGTAGATTGAAGAGAAGTCACCCAGTATAATTTACAGGAAAGAAAGCTTTTACAATACACACGTCCTGTAAAATATACCGGAAGACAAACACTAACTTCCTGTTTAATATACTGGACAAAATGAAATAAAATTGAAATACATAACTTAATATTTTGTTTCCTGTATATTAAACTGGAGTTATATACTGTTAAACCACTATGTCCCGTATTTAATAATGGACATAAAAAATCACTCAAAAAAAGTAATAAATAAAAAGAACTCATCCAGTATAATTTACAGGAAAGAAAGCTTATACAATACACACATCCTGTAAAATATACTGGACGACAACCACTAACATCCTGTATAATATACTGGACAAAATAAAATACAATAGATTGAACAGAACTCACCTAGTATAATTTACAGGAAAGAAAGCTTATCATAAATAAGAAATTTACCTGTTTTTTTCATCTCTCACAATATTTGTATATGATCCTGGATTTTTTTGTTCCATCATATACAAATATGATGGCAGCTGCTCATAATTGTGTTCAGTTGTTCCTCTTAACAAAGATAACCCCTTTTGAATAGCATGCCATGCTTTTCCATAACCAACATCAATTCCATGTGCTCTTTTCATCTCTGAAATGACAAACTTAGGTTTTACCTCAGTAGCTATGTCTCTTAAGTTGTCAATCACGTAATCTCTAATCACATTTGAAGTTGCTTGCCTTTGATCTGATTTTCGAATATCAACTGAGCACTCATGTGTTCTCTGAAATTTAACTATTTTAAAAAGTGTTGATTCCTTAATTCTTGAACCTCGAACAGTCCAAGTACACTTTTAATCAGTACATACCAAAGAGTATCTCGTGTTACTTGACCTGTTAACATAGAACTCAAAATGCTCCTTTATAGCTGCTAAGCAAAAACATCTAATCATGGCATTTTTATCTTGAAAAACAGAACCAAGTTTTACATCATCCAGTGATGCATTTTCCTTTAATATTATTGATGGAGATTCTTTTNAAACGGACCCGGACCGGTGATTTGGCGGTCCCGGAGGGTCCGTAGAAAAATATGAGACTCGGGCATATGCCCGGAGTCGAATTTCGAGGTCGAGAGCCCGAGAAATGAATTTTTCTGTGAAATTGTTTTTCTGAAATTCTTAAGAAAATGGAAATGAAAATTGATTAAAAGACTATGGTATCGGGCTCGTATTTTGGTTCCGACGCCCGGTACAAGTCTTAAATATGTGTTAAGCGCTTTCTGTAAAGTTTGGTCGAAATCGGACGTCATTTGACGTGTTTCGGACCTAAATATCTAAAGTTAGAAGTTTAAGAAGTTTGAAATGAAAATGATGATTTTGAGGCTTGATTCACGGATTTTGATGTTATTTAGGCGATTTGATCGCACGGTTAAGTTCGTAGGATGTTGTTGAGTTAGTCCATGTGTTGGGTTAGGAGCCCCGAGGGCTCGGGTGTGATTCGGATGTGTTTTGGGATGGTTTTAGCCTTAGGAATGCTGCAGAAAACTGCTGTTGCTGGTGTCTGCGATCGCGTACATTCTTCTGCGATCGCGTAGGGTTAATTGATCAGGCCCATTTTCTGTTCTATGCGATCGCATGAACTCCTCTGCGATCGCGTACCTTAGCCCCTTCATTTTTGCGATCGCATTAAGCTTCCGCGATCGTGTTTCATTAAACCAACCCCGGTATGCATAGCCCCTTTTCTTCTATGCGTTCGCATGACCCATTCTGCGATCGCAGTGGTCAATTTTCCCTTCCCCTATGCGATCGCAAGCCTCCTTCTGCGATCGCATAGAGTAAATACGCCCAGTTATATTTTTATGTCCAGAATAGTAGCAGCACGGGATTTCTCATTTTTTTTTCACAGGAGCTTTTCTCTTTAACCCTCCATAGACGAAATTCAAGCTCTCCTTCCTCCATAACTCTTTGGGAAGTAATCTTAACATCAAAGGAATTCTTCAAATGAAGTCCCATCATTTATCAGGAGGAGCTTCGTTTTATGATCCAAGTACTTGTAATCTGCTGTCCATTTGCCATCGAACGCAATAATCAAGAAATTTGTGTGCATCCTGTATTTAATGAACCCAAATAATTAGATATCTAGAAATTATACTGTTTAAAAATATTATATTCATCCAGTATAATATACTGGAGAATAAGCTTACATACAGGTGATGTCCCGTAAAATATACTGGATTAAAACAAAACTCAATTATATTCTAGTCTTAGAACTTATCCAGTATAACATACTGGAGAAAAAGCTTAGACACAGGCGATGTCCCGTAAAATATACAGGATTAAAATAAAACTCAATTATAATCTAGTCTGAAAACAGAATTCGTCCAGTATAACATACTAGAGAAAAATATTACACACAGGTGCCGTACTTTAAATTATTCTGGATTGAAATAAAACTCAACTATATTATAACATAATATCTACATTAACGAAACATACTTCAAGTGAATTACAATGCATTTTTTATGAGATTTCCAATATAATAAGCTGGAAACGTCCAGTAAATTATATTCTAGTCTAAATAGAACTCAACTATATTCTACTCTAAATAGAACTCGTCCAGTATAACTTACTGGAGAAAATTTTAAACACAGGTGATTCCCTGTAAAATATACTGGATTGATATAAAACTCAATTATATTCTAGTTTATGCAGAACTTACCCAGTATAACATACTGGAGAATAAGCTAACACACAGGTAATGTCCCGTAAAATATACTGGATTCAAACAAAACTCAATTATATTTTAGTCTTAGAACTTATCCAGTATAACATAAAAAATATTACACACAGGTGACGTCCCGTAAAATATTCTAGATTCAAACAAAATTCAACTATATTCTAGTCTTATAACTTATCCAGTATAACTTATTGGAGAATAAGCTTATACACAGGTGATGTCTCGTAAAATATACTGGATTCTATCAAAACTCAATTATATTCTAGTCTTAGAAATTATCCAGTATAATATACTGGAGAATAAGCTTACACACATGAGATGTCCCGTAAAATATACTGGATTAAAACAAAACTCAATTATATTCTTGTCTTAGAACTTATTCAGTTTAACATACTGGAGAATAAGCTTACACACAGGTGACGTCCCGTAAAATATTCTGGATTCAAACAAAACTCAATTATATTGTAGTGTTAGAACTTATCCAGTATAACATATTGGAGGAAAAGCTTACACACACGTGATGTCCCGTAAAATATACTGGATTCAAATAAAACTCAATTATATTATAACATAATATCTACATTAACGAAACATACTTCAAGTGGATTATAATGCTTTTTTTTATGAGATTTCCAGTATAATAAGCTGGAAAAATCTTCGCTTTAGATATTAATTTAGAAACGTCCAACAATTATACTGGCGCTATGTTCTACATTGAGAAATTTAGACAATAACACAGATTAAAGCATTAAAAACAAATCAAAAATTCGAAAAATTAAATTTTTTTACTGATACTTTGAATTTTATGGTTTGTATTCTTGATCGTAGAAGAACTTTAAATAATCAGACAAATTTTAGATAGAACTTACTTCGATTTGCAGATTGACGACGGAAATTTTGCTAAAACTTCGATTTGCAGATTGACGCAGAACGATTTTGCTAACACTTCGATTTGCAAATTAACGCCGGAAGATTTTGCGAATACCTCGATTAACGCCGAAAGATTTTTCTAATATTTCGATTTACAGATTGACGGCGAAAATTTTCCTAATAACTCGATTTGAAAATTAATGCCGGAAGATTTTGTTAAGTTTTGCTAAAAGAAGAATTTAAGGTGAAGTCGCGTAAATTAATAAAAAAAGCAGGGGTATTTTAGTCAACAAAATGTTACCGCACTAAATTAGTGGCTAAATATCGTTGACCGGTGATTATATGGCTACATTTGATTGACCAGGCGAAAAACTGGCCATTCTGAATTTTTCGCTTAGTTACATATTTGACATTCTCAAGTTCTTTGATGCCGCAATAGGACAAGTCGAGAAGCGTTTCTAGAATTTTATTTTGGTTTCGCATTCGAAGATATCTTGGTTAACTATGAAGTTGGTTCACAACAAGGAGAATGATCCTTTTCTCGACATAATATACCTGTTTATAAAGCTTTTTGAATGGTTCTAATTCTCTAAACGTATGCAGTGATCCGTCTTCCTGATCACATCTTTAAATGCCTTTTTTAGAAGTGTATTGATATCGTTATTGCTTGTTGAACAACTTGAAAAAGAATTGTGTTTGTTCGTAAAAGTAGAAGCAATTTTAATTCTTGATGGCACTAGAAACGAACTGATTGATTCTTAAGGCCTTTCTTCTCTTCCGAAATTCTCTATGTAAATATACTTGCTAAATTCTTGGCAGATTCTGATGTACTGAACACCAAAAGGAATACTTCTACTCGAGGTTTAATTTTCTCGGTAGAGGAATTTAAAGAGCAAGCAGTGAGAATACCAGACATATAATGCAGCTTCTATCATTAAAATCTGTTTGGTATGTGAACAAAACTTGCTTAGCGACACAGGGCCATCGAATGCCTATAAACAAGTGAACAGACAAAGGCAAAAACTATGGAATCCAATGTACATAATTGTATACATGTGAAAAGTATCACAAGAACTTACAAGAATGGGATAAGCAAGAAGCAGAATCAGCAAGAATTTTGGTAATTTCATTCCCATATAGCACCACATTTACAGCAAAAAGTGAGGAGCCCAAGGGCAAGAACTCCATGTATAAAGAGATAAGTATTACTTGCTCACTCATATTCAAATATTATTTCCCTCCCATCAAATGTATGTACAGCTCTATAGCTTGAGAGTGTCGACTAGTCAACCTTCCCAAATCGCTGATCAATGACCATTATATTGCCTCTCAGTAAGTACACCAGAGTGATAAACATTTAGGTGATACATTGCCTCTGGCACCAATTCCTTTAACTCAGGATGTGCAGCAATTAATGAGCGATCTACTCCCTCGAGAGCAGTGAATACTCGTGCTTGTTCCAGAGCCTCACTGTTACCAGCATGTGATACTATGTAGCAGAGGAGAATCAATCCATTCAATTTTGATTGTTCATTTCCTCTCAACAGTCTCATCACAGGAGGAACACCTCTGAATTCGATAATTGTTTTTGAGTGCTCCATACCCAAGAAATTCTGAGGACATGTAAACTTCCCAAGTGAGGCAGCAGCTTCTGCTGCCACGTCTAGGTTCCTATTACTAAGTTGCTCGACTAAAGGACCAATTACACGTGTTTCTCTCGCTGGAAATGTCCTAGCAAGTGAACCAACTGATCTAACAGCTGGAATCTGCAGTGTTGGGTTATCAGACTCTTTAATCACCCGCAACAACTGATCCACAACAGCCTTTGCAGCAGGGGAATTTGTCTTGAAAGCAGCCCTTCTAAGATCAGCATTTGATTCAGCAGCAGCAGTTATTTCCATTATCGTCATCAAGCAATTAAGCTGCAAATCTCCTTGTTCTCTCTCAACAAGCTTAGCTAAACAAAGCAAACCTTTGGTCTCTGTTATCCTCTTACTAATCACAACACTTCCCTTGGAAAGCATCCACAGAGCCTTAGCACAGCTAACCTTCAGCTGATACTTCATTTCCGGCTTCTCATTCTCTTTTTCTTTCCTGTAACCCCCACCTTTACTACTCGCATCAGAATAATGCACTGACAACGGCGATCCAGGCACACGTCTATAAGTATACAACCCCGACGAATTCTTCTCCAACTCCTTATTAATCTGCACAAGGGAATGTATGCTTTGCTTCCCATTTCCCAATTTCGGTTCATCTATTGGAATATCATACGATAACAATGTCACAAGCGGCCTAATGACATTCTCCCTTGCAAACTCCTCTTGAGCTAATAAACTATGATCCGCCATTCTTGCCACTAAATCAGCCAACTCAATTTGGACCCTCGTCGGGGAATCCCCCAATAATTGAACTATTATCGGTACCCCTACTTCACGAACAATTTCCCGAACCCTTTCTTCGTCATTGGCCAGATAAGAAAGCGCCCCAGCAGCAGCAATTTGAGCATCCGGGGATGATGATTTGTCCTTCAAGAGCTTTAACAAAGGAAAAATTCCACCTTCTTCAACTATAATTTTCTTATTTCTATCATTATCTCTAGCAAGTGAAGCTAATTCATTAGCAGACTCAATTCTATCATTCAATTGACCCAAATATAACGAAGCAATAAATGACCAAACCCAAGAAATAATCGGGTCATTACTAGCAATTGGCGGAAGAGAAAGTACAATTCCACCACCACCACCAACACCACCACTATCATAGTCAAAGATGCTGAGGAGCCACGTCATATCGGCTATGGAAGATTCCAGAAGGTTATTTACCTTACGAAAATCGGCGGCGGTGACGATTCTGACAACACGGCGGAGGATTCCCCGCCGCTTGCACTTGCGAACTAGGGTTAAGGCCCGGTCAAGATTCTTGGAAACATCGGCAACGATTCGACGGACCGGACGTTCATAAAGAGAACCGGCAGTTGAGGTGTTGAACCGGGCAACGGACCGGAGCATCTGAGAGAGACGGTCGGCTTGTCTTCCAACCTCGGCACAGTCGGTTTTGAAGAAG